TTTCCCTACTGTACCTTCTCCTGGTCAGTGTGTCATTTCTGAGTCTCTGGGTTATCACCTTTATCATTTCCATTATGTTCCACCTTAAAAGTCACAATCTCTCTCCCAACCCAGTTCTCCTAACGTTCCACCAAGCAGGTCTATGTCTGATTTACTAAATCTATTGAGTAGTTACTAAGTACCAGACTTAGTATTTAAGCAATTTACCTGCCTTTGCTTTTTTAATTCTCCTGGTGCCTGAGGAGTTAGATTCTGTTATCATCACTATTTCGGTGTTGTGGAAATAGGCTGAGAGTTACGTAGCTTGTCCAAAATTCTGCAGTTGGTGGAAGGGCCAGACGGTGGGCACTTTGACTTGAAAACCCGAGGGATTATAATGCCTTCCTTGTAGGTAATGTTGAGTTTGCCACCTGTTGCTCTGAGTTAGTAAGAACGTGACTTGGACAGTTCAGAATCCATCCAGAACAATCCATAGCACAACAAATTTGGGCTGGGTGAGCCTCCATCACCTCATTCTTTTGGGCACTAACAGAAATAACCTCGGTTTGTTGACTTTGCTGTTCGACCCACAGAGTCATGTAAAAATATATGAAATCTGTTATATCAGTGGTTCTCAACCTTCTGGCCCTTTAAATACTGTTCCTCATGTTGTGACTGAACCATAAAATTATTTTTGTTGCTACTTCATAACTGTAATGTTGCTACTGTTATGAATCATAATATAAATATCTGATATGCAGGATGGTCTTAGGTAACCCCTGTGAAAGGGTCGTTCGACCGCCAAAGGGGTTGTGAACCACAGGTTGAGAACCGCTGTGTTAGATGATCTGTTTGCCTCTGTGGCAAACACTTTATACCTGTTTGCTCTGCCACATAGTCCCCTTTGTCATATTTTAAACATTTGGTTTAATCCCTTAAATCAACACTGGAGGGTTTTCTTATTAAAAACAAAAAGGAGGATGGAGCTAATGAAAGTGAACAAGCTGGGGATATTGTTTGTTGGGGGTATCCTGGAGGGTAGTGATGGGCAGGGTTGTCAAAGGAGCTTTAGGTATCAGTGATGCTGTCTCTTAACCTGGGTGCTGGTAACCTGGGTATCACTTTGCGAAAGCTCATCAAGCTGTCCACTTGGGGGGTGTACTTTCCCACCAATCTCACCCCTGCCTGGACCACCCCCACCTTCTCTTGGTGGGCTCCCCTTCATCTGTCCCTCCTCAGCAGGGCCTCCCATGAGTCCTCAGTTGAGATGAGGTTTCCCTGTAAAACCCTCCACAGCACTGACACAAGTGAAATTATCCAGCTCTTCCTGTGGGCACTGGTTTCATGTGTATCTCTCCGCTAGACAGCAACCAGGGCTTTCTGTGTCCACAGGGTCTGCTGCTGGGTCTTCTGGGCCTGGCACAGGTGGCCGCTGTGAACTAGTTGGTAAAGGAATGATTGAGGCTAGAGAGAGGGAAGCAGATGGAGAGATAGAGAGATGGAGAGAAGAAGGCAAAGGGAGGTGGGGAAGAGATCTGGTATTTTGAGGCATGGCCAGAGGCTGGCAAGGGGGAGCACCAGTGAGGGTCTTAAATAAATGAGTAAGGAATCTCCTGAGAAAGAAGTGTTTCCAACAGAAGGTAGACTCACTGTGGACAAGATTGGCTCGTATGGGAGGAGGGGACCCTGAGCCCAGTCAATCTCAGATTTTCTTTTGGTTCAAAGGAAGTTGCTGTGGGTTGGAAGAAATTTTCCTCTACCCTCCAGGTTCTTTTGGATGGTCTAATCCAGTGGTTCTCAACCTTCTGGACCTTTAAATATAGTTCCTCATGTTGTGACCCAACCATAAAATTATTTTTGTTGCTACTTCATAACTGTAATGTTGCTGCTGTTATGAATCATAATATAAATATCCAATATGCAGGATGGTCTTAGGCAACCCCTGTGAAAGGGTCATTCGACTGCCAAAGGGGTCGAGACCCACAGGTTGAGAACCGCTGGTCTAATCCTATACAATAAAAGGCTAATATGCAAATTATCCCCTCTGGAGTTCGGCTGCGTGCTATGTGTGCTGACCACCAGGGGGTGGTGCAGAATGAAGAAAAGCCCCAGCTGGCAACCAGAAGGCCTCAATTGGCCCTTATCGCCAGCCAGGCCTAGGGATCCTACCCATGCATGAATTTTGTGTACCAGGCCTCTAGTAATGAAATAAACATAAAACAGAGTAATATGAGGAAATAAACAGAGTTTTGCATGGAGTATGGGAACCCTGTATACATGAGAGCCCCAGAGCCCCACATGCAGGAGGGGCTCAGAGAGAAGGGAGCATGGATCTGTAAGACACTCTGAGCTAGGGGTGAGGTAGCCTCGAGAGCTCCAAAGGGTCCTTTGAGGATAAGAAGAGCAGATGTTTAGTAAACAGGAGTTTGTCCTGCCTACAGATAGCTCAAAAGAGGTTGTCTCAGATAATCTCTTATTATGGTCAAGACCCTGATTCAAGTCTTCTTTGTAGTTCATGGAGGGACAGAAGTTTTTCGTGAGCTGTGGCTAAAGTTGCTCAAAACAATCCACATACCACAGAGGCCCATTTGGGGTGACTCATTCTGAATTCCCCCATTGCAAAACAGAGCAATTCCTCTGTGATTCTGTAGGACACAGAGAGCCTGAGGTGTGAGTCACTGGGTACAGGTGGCAGCCTTGGGGACAGCCGAGATGCTAGCAGAAGACGTGTGAGGTGGCCATAGCACAGTGGTGATAACAGTGAACATCTGAGGTGCAGCCCCAGTGGCCCAGGCTAGGGCAGCCACAGCCAGGTCTGCACATTTGGCAGCGATGGCGGAGGCCTCAGTTTGTCTTGTGACACAAAGGCCACTGTATGCAGTGAAGGCCGTCACGCCTCAGTGGAAGGGGCAGTGGGTCCCTTCCTCTCAGAGCAGATGGGAACTGCCCAGATGGGAAGGAGCTGAGGGTCATGGCCCACTTCCTACAGACCTAGAGGAAGTCAGCTGGAAAGTCCCAGCTAGAGGTCACTGGGTTGATGGCCCCAGGCTAGAATTCTCTGGAACACACAACCCACTGAGCGGTGACTTTCAAGGAGCACATATGAATGAGCAGAGAGAACATCCAAGAGCCAATGAGGCCCCAAAGCAAACAGCCCCTTGGGTTGGTGAACAGGTCTTCCTTCCAGCCCCTCGCCTCAGCCATCCTTACAGCAGAACTGTCGCCCATAGCCACTTGGCTGCTGGCTCCAAGAACATGCCTTAGGGCAGTGGTTCTCAACCTTCCTAATGCCGTGGCCCTTTCATACAGTTCCTCATGTTGTGGTGACCCCCAACCATAAAATTATTTTCATTGCAACTTCATAACTGTAATTTTGCTACTGTTATGAATCGTAATGTAAATATCTGATATGCAGGATGTATTTTCATTGTTACAAATTGAACATAATTAAAGCAGAGTGATTAATCACAAAAACAACATGTAATTATATATGTGTTTTCCAATGGTCTTAGGCAACCCCTGTGAAAGGGTCGTTCAACCCCCAAAGGGGTCTCAACCCACAGGTTGGCGACCCACAGGTTGAGAACCGCTGCCTTAGGGGGTGTTTTCCTTTTTTAACTCAGTATTCCCAAAGACTGCTCTGGAGTGACAGGGGGAGCTTCATTTTATGAAATGGGAGAAGACAATACTGTCATCAGTAAGCAGGGAAACTCTGTTACTTTTCTATAGGCACTGTCTCAAGGTACACTGATTGGGTAGGGCTTTCTAAAGCATTTTCACACCCCTTTTTTCTGAAACGATGTCTTTCAAACGTTTTTGATTGCATACCCTCTTAGCAAAATCATTCTGAGCACAGCCAACCAACATATGTGTATTTATTCATTAATTATGCTTATACAAGAGTGTGTTTATTGTTTACTGTATTTATAGTCAAAGTCCTAACAGAGTGTGTCCCCTGGGATATAGGCACCCCAATAAATAAATATGAGGGAGACGAGGCTGGCATTGTAAACCACATTCAACAGATTAATAAACTAAGCTTTGGAGCGGGGGAGGTGCGCTCCCGTCAGAGAACCAGCAATTGTAGGACTGAGATTAAAACCCGGTTTCAGGCCTTGAATGACGCTCCTCACCTATGGTCCTGACTCCCAGGCACATGGCTGAGCCACACTTCCCAAGTGCTCTCATGCCAAATCCCATCTCTTCCCACCCACCCCAGCCTGGGGATGGATCCTGTCACATCTGTTCTCAGTGATTCCCACACTCCTCTTGCTGCCCTATTTTATCACCCCCTCCTATAACCTAGGGGGAGCCTTGCCACCAGGGTTCTGCAGGCAGGAAGCATCTGCTCTCCACACCTCATTGCTTTCTCCCCTTCCATTGAGCAGGGGTGATGCCAAGACCTTCCCCAGTCTCCCAGGCCCGGTTATGCATTCTGCAGTGACCTGTAGAGAGATGCTCTCTCCAGCAGGAAGACCAGGTGATGGGATTTACTGAGCATACACTCTTGATCTGCAATACGTGGCCATGGGGCTTCCCTGTGTGAGAATGAGGCAGGCAGGAAGTTAGCTTCCCAGGTGGTTTTGTAGAAACACAATTCCCTGAAGTAAAATAAGCTGAGTATCTGGAAACAATGAGAAACCCAAAACCCAGGCAGCCGGCAAATCTGCAGCCGCAGGGGGCTCCAGGAAGTAAGGAGGGATCAGGTGGCAATCGCTTTGGGGCCCAGTGTGGGGAAGATCTTGCAGTTAAATCCAATGTCCCCTCTCAGGGAGGTGCCCAGTGTTTGCTGATTATTGTTTAACTGAGGTGGGGCCATGCCTAGTGTGCCCTTATAAGGAAGAGCCTTAGGGGAAGAAGCAAACAGATGCCAGAGGCCAGCACTGAGGGCTGCAACTTCACTTCCCCAGAGAGACTGCCACTCTCATTCCCCAGGCTGCTGCTGAGTCCAGTCCTCCTGGGATCCGGAACCCTTTGGGAACACTGCTGACACCGAGTGCTCCATCGGACATACCTGTTGGAAACAGGTAAGGTGTGAATGGTGACCTCCTATGGACCAAGAGAGCCTCTTAAAATTATGTAGATTCCTAATCTGCAAACCCAGAAATATGTTTTCAGTAGCTCTGAAAGCTGTATTTTTGATGCAGTGAGTAAGGATAAGCTTTAAGGAAACCCAGGGCAAAGGATGAGTTGACTCTCTAAGAGAGCCTCTCTTAATCATTGAGCCACCTTTGCTTTCTACTCATGCAAAGCCGAAACCTTGAGCACTACATTGACCATAATGGATACCCCCATCTCTGTCCTTCCATTCATAGTTTCTGGCACATGGTCAGTATTTAATACTGAGGGGAGGAATGGGGCCCGGGCCTTGCCTTCTGTTCTCTAATGAAGCAGCTGAATAATGACACGAACAGAGTTGAAAAATCCAGGTTAGTCCCAAAGACTGATCACAGCCACTTCAGAGGTTCAGGCATTCCTATACCCCTCCAGCTGCTTCCCAGTCATGCTTGTGCCTCTATGGCTGCTGGAGGTGGGTCATCCTGGAGATGTGATCCTGGTCTCAGAGAGCAGAGCTCACGCTGTTTTGCTTGAGGCCAAGCTAACAGGTTGCAATAAGTGTGGATATGTTTCCTCTGTAGCTACAGCTGGGTTGTGACCTGCCGACTGCCTGTTTGCCCTGGCACATGCAGAATTTTGCTGATGCCTGGGTGGCATTCCCCGGATGTCCAGTCACCACATCCTCCTGAGTTGTCCCACCTGTATCCTGCTGGACCCAGACTTTGTTTTTGAGGGTGATAGCTGCAGGAGGACTCAATGGTTAGCACATTGGTTGATGCCAATCTATGTCTATTTATATAAAAGGCTAAGTGACTGACTGTATGTCCATCCTACCGACCGACTGACCGGCCAGTACATATGACGTGCACTGGCAATTTAAAAAGAAACATTGACTCGTGCCTGTGCAATACATATAAAGCTTTCACTGGTGCCAATTGCACACGTGTTTTAATTTTATAATACCATATTATATATACTATTTTGACATGTAATTTTTTGCAGTTACGTAATTACCACATGAGTCTTTCTTCTAATTAATTTCCTTTCACTGTGCATGAATCTGTGCACCAGGCCACTAGTGTAGTAATAATCAGCCAACTGTGTAATAGGGAAGAGTTATGTGTAACGTGAGTTCATTATCTCCCATTTATAGATAAAAAAGTGAGGTACCTGGTGAGTGACTTGCTGCTGAGGGCACACCAGATGCAAACAATGGAGCTAGAGTTAGATTGTTCCCAGTGCACTGTCTTGTCCCCCTGTTGGTTGTATTCAGTGAGGGATTCACGTGAAAGAATGCCTTAGAAGAAGAGGTGCTATCAAGAAATTACAAATGAATGACCCAAATATTGGCACTGGGTGCTTACTCTCTTGCCAGCACTGTGCTTGCTCTGACCATATGTGTTATGTGATATTACCATTCGGGCATGTTCCTTAGCCTCTCTGGGTCTCAGGTTCCTCATCACTAATACGTGGTAACAACAGCATCTACCTCATACAATTACTGCACAGATTAAATAAAATAATACATGCAAAGTACTGGGCAGTGGCTGGCACATGGTCAATGTTCAAAAATCTTTTAGTTAATACTATTTATATCCCTCGAGCCTGGATTCTTTACAAAACAAAACTTGAGACAAAGGTTAAGTGCTAATGCCTCATTGGGAGATGCAATATCAGGACAGTGTGGGTGAGGGAAATGAGAAAGGAGGAGAGGAGAATGGGAAGCAATGCAAGGAGAAGTGTCGCCTTCACAAAAAGACATCGCTGGCCACGTGGCCAATGCAGAACATCTGTGGGCTAGCTTTGCAGAAACACCAGGCCTTGGGGCACTCTACTGAGAGAGGTTGGGGAGGAAATTTACATGCAGGTTTCATTCCGTCTCCTATCTTCCGTTGCTCAATATGCCCTATGGGGAGTTAACTCTCCTGAACTTTGGGTTTGTGCCATCCGGCCCCTTTGGCAGCCACTGGGAAATCCAGATCCTAATCCTTAAACTTGGCACTTTATTTGAGTCCATAAGTTGTCTGGGCTGAGAGTCCCAGAGACAAGTGACATGAAGGGAACCTGAGACAGGACATAAGATTTGTTCGAAACAGATCAAATTACTATCTATATGTATATAAAAGCCAAGTGACCAGAACGAACGGAATGACCTGTCCCTATGACGTGCACTGTGGCTGGCCAACAGGCCTGATGGGGGCAGGGCTGGTTGGCCAACCTCCCACAGCCCCTCCTTCTGGCTGGCCTGGCCCCTGATCAATGGGCCCCAATCAGGACAGGCTGGCCAGACCCCACCCATGTATGAATTCATGCACCGGGCCTCTAGTTATTAATATTTGCTGGACATGTGTAAGGCACTGGTGTTCTCTGTCCTTGATAGACTGGACTCTATATCTTAGGCAAGTGTTTCCTAAAGCATGGTACATGGAACACTGATTCTGAAAACTGTTGCTAGGTGCTCCTGATATAAGGTTCTGGGATCAAACACTTGGGTGAATGATGTCTCCTACTCTCCCCTCCTTGGAAAATCATGATTCAGATTTGTATATAAAGACTCTGAGAAGGCCAAACAAAGAAATTGGCGGAACTGAGTGCTCCAGCACTTTCCTGCAGCACACCTGTTGGGAGCACTGCCTCAGACCCAGGCAGCCCTGGGTTTGGTCTCTCTTCTGTCTGGACCCCTAAATTCTCGGGGTACTCTTCTCTACCATGCACTGTGTTCTGCTTTGCACAAGCCTTTTTTTGAATTAAAAAAAAAATCTGCAATACAATGTGAGGCCATGCATGCTCTCCAGTCTGCAAAACTGGTTCTCTCAATAAACAGCCAGAAAGCTCAACCAAACCTTATTTCCTTGACTTACCGTATTTGCCGGCGTATAAGACGACTGGGCATATAAGACGACCCCCTAACATTTCCACTCAAAATACAGAGTTTGTTATATACTCGCCGTATAAGACTACCCCCTCTTCCGCACACCTTCCACACACCAAATAAAAGGTAAAACAATATCAGATTTGATTTTAACATTTTAATTTATATTCAAATGCTTATGACATGTAGGAAAACTGTCACAAGGCTGTATGTAATCAAACATATACATAAAACAGTGCAAGTTTATTACCGGTAAACATACCGGTAATTCACTAAAGAAAACACACTCTATAGACTGGTACCGTAGATGCTTCTCAGGAACACAGGCAAGCAGCCCACAACCTAGAGGGACTGTCAATGATAGAAGTAAGATAACAAATAGAGGTAGAGAGCAAGTGCCGGGCAAGTCCCTAGCAACCCTGGGACCTCACTAGTGCGCAAGTGCGAGCTCTTCAACATTCTAACAGGCACCATGATAGCGCAAAATCGCGAATCTTCAATGCATATGTAAAGAAATATACGGTAACCCGAATTTACCACACTCGCAAAATCGCACACAGCCAACCATACACCCAGTATGGTATCGCGATTCGTGATTTTGCGCTATCATACTGGGTGTATGGTCGGCTGTGTGCGATTTTGCGAGTGTGGTAAAATCGCATAACAGCAAAATCGCATAACAGCCGAGCATACACCCAGCAGCGCTGCTGATGCCTGAACGGTATGTGGAATGAAGTGGGCGGGCATCGGGAGGCCACTATGGCACGGGGCAAGCACTATGGGCAGTCTATCTGAAGTGTACCTGGCGTATAAGACGACCCCCCACTTGGAGGCATATTTTTCAGGGCCAAAAAATCGTCTTATACACCGGCAAATACGGTAATAGTTAATATAGTTGAGCAAGGTGATCCCTAAGGGGCTTTCCAGCCCCTGGTAATCTGTGACACTCGTGTTGAAAGGCAGCTGAAAGTCACCTCTATCCAGTGTCTGCATTGCCTCAGAGATGGTCTATTCAGCTAATAAGCACGTGCACAATTTTAAGAGATGGTGGAGGGGTGTGGAAGCAAAGGCTTGCCCACTGCCACCCCTTCTGGTGGAGCTGCGCTTAATGAGAGAAGTACCTTGAACTAAAGGTAGTGGCCCCGGGTGATGGGGTGATGAGCTGCCTGAGTTCTTGGGCTGGAAGAGAGCCGATGTTGAGGTTAATATTCTTGCTCTGCCACATGGACCACAAGGGATCCTTAAAACAGAGTGGCCAGGACCTTGGTTTGATTTCTCTCTGGGCAGCACGCTGGCCTCTGTTCACTGGCTGGGTCAGCCCCTCTGTGCCCACCTCCCCTGCCGGAGGTCAAGCCCACGCAGCTCAGAGAACTGAGCAGCCCCACTCACAGCCGGTGGGCAGAGACCTTGAGGGGCAGGTCTCCATCAGAGCTGACCACACACCTGCCTTCAGGGAATGCAGCCAGGGGCCCACATCTGGATCCAATGAACTCTCACGTGCCTGAGGAAGGGGAGGAGGTCAGGAACGTTATCCCCGTTCTCAGCCAAATATTGTCCTCTGCCCCTCGAATCCTTATCCAGATGTGGCTTCCAACCAGTTGAGCTGCATCACTCGGCACTGTCTCTGAAACCTCTCCCACTTCTCAGGAACTGGAAGGTAAGAGATGTGCCTGAGGCAGAGATTCAGGGGGAGGCCCTCAGGGTGGCTGGTTCCTGGGCCACCGCAGCCATGTCCCTTCCACTCAGCTGTCCTAATCCAGCGTCGCTGTCTCCTTCTAACCCGGTTCCCAGACCCTGTCTACTCAATCAGGTCACTTTATGCACATGGACACAGGACTGCCTCAGACCCCCGCCTGCCTCACCTTGAGAAGTGGTCATGTGTCCTTCCCAACTCCCTGTAGATTTGCACTGTATGGAAAATTCTCTCTTTCTCTTTATTCCTCCCTTCCTCTGCTCTCTCCCCTCCTTCTCGCCTTCTCTGTTTTTCTCTCCCCCTCCTTCCTGCCTCCATCTCTTCCTGTCTCTCCTTTACTTTCTTTCTCTCCCTCTCACTCCTCTCTCCCTCAAGCTGTCCTCTCTCTCCTCCTACTCTCTCTC